TTTGTGTTAAATCCAAAGGTTCCCTTTCCCCTTTGGAGAAAGGCCCCTTAGGAGAAGCAGAAATGTTGAATCCAATCATTATGAATAGTGGGAAGATATTCTTTTGGTATTCACGGTCTGATATATGCTTATCAGTACTCCTATTTATGTACCTATGGCTGTTAATTCTCATATATTATTCAAACTTAGAGATGGGGAGCAGAGGAAGGATAGCACAGGACAGTGAAAGATAGAGAGTTATTATCATCCTTACATTTTCATGAAACGCTCTTTACAGCCTGTATAGAACTGTTTGGAACTACAGGTAGTCCTTGCTTAACAACAGTAATTGGGACCGGCAACTCTGTTGCTAAGCAAAGCAGTTGTAAAAACACAATCATGTGACCTCACCAATTTACAATGGCAGTTGCAGCAGTTCTGGCTGCCACTGTTGAGCAAATCCTGCATGGTCCTTAGGAGCAGTGTCATGTGATTGCCATTTGCAACTTCCTGTGAACTTCCCTTTGACTTTGCTTATCAGAAGCTGGCAGTGAAGGTTGCAAATGGAGATTATGTGACTGTGAGACATTGTGACTGTTGTAATTGTGAGCCAGTTGCCTAGTGCCTGAATCACAATCACGCAACCTCAGGGATGCTGTAACAGCCCCAATTACAAGGACTGGTCGTCTGTCTTTCAGAAATGTATCCATAAGTAATTAGAGTTTGGTGCAATATGAATAATTTGTGCAAATATTAGAACGTATTTTAGGTATTAAAGGGAGTAGCTAATCAATAAATACCAGGGATGTATTTAGTCTATACCATTTGTGATACCTTAAAAGCATATGTATAACAAGCATAACAATTTGTGAACCTATGCCTTGATCAATTAATTAATATTTAAGGTGCCACAAGATTCTTATTTAAGAAATTATCTTGTTCCCAAATCTATTTCCAATCCTGTTTTAAAATGCAAAGAATATTTTATTTTCTTCCAAATAAAATTATATATTGCTAGTCAAGGTCCTCAGGTAATATAATTCAGGGTGCTCTAACCTGAGTGCCCTCCAAATGTGTCAAGTCCAACACACAGAATTCTTAACAAGATTTAACAAGGTTAAAAATTCCTAGGCTTCTCAGGTAGGCTTTGATTTAAAACCTAAAAAGTACCCAAGTTGGATAACTGAGTCCTGTAACTGAGATAGAATCTGAATGCTTATAACTTGTTCCCAATTGCTGAATCAAAAGGTCTCTTAAAAAGACATTCTAAACAATTCACAACTAAGAACTATCCTGCTGCTTCTCCAAGGTACTAAAGCAAGTTTTAGACAGATACCTAGGAGAAAGCAGAGATGAACTATGGAGTATCTGGTTCAGGAAAAAATATCCCCAGGAGAGTGAAAATGTTTCTGATTATCTTAACAAAAGGCATGATGGAATTAAGCCACAAGCAAACAGCAGAATGTGATAACCTGCAAATCAGGCCAAAGAGGGCAATACTCACGCCAAAAAAAATTATGGAGGGTCACTGTATATGGTTTCTCTGCTAATGTTATTAGCTACCAAGCCAAAATAGGAGATCCTGAGTGCTTGGTTTTAAAAGAGATAATAGTAGTGTATGGCACCTTTTATTTCCCAAGTCTCAATAAAATGCCAATAAGAAGACTTGAGATGAGACTTCTGATGAATAGCAAATGTATTTTGATCAAGACACAGCTGGGTGACCCCAATCAACACATTAACAAAAGATGTTGA